TACTGGAAACTTTTCTCTTTTTTGTGTATTTGTAAGTTTCCTGTAATGTATAGATTTAACTTTTGTAGTTCAAAAAAAAATTGAAGGGCCTCATTATACCATCTCTCAAACAGATGACTTATCATTTACAGGTCACCACTCTCTTAAAAGGCAGAAATTTCAATTATTTCAATGGCAGAGATTAGAAATATCTCCCACTGAGTGACTATACTATTCTAGGATGATGAGGGGTAAGGAGCAGCTACATTATTAGTGTATTGCCTTGGATTTTTGCGAGTAAAAACATTTGGATGGCAGAGAGTAGGGGGGAATGATTAGCAATTAAAGGCCTAAAAGTTATTTTCTTTATATTTTTTCCTCCCTCTTTTCTTTCAAGTTGATGTGGACATTTCCCTTTGCATTGTGTAGCTAATAGGTGAGCTGATTCTTGCTAATATTCAGAGTAAGTTAATCTCATGATTAGGCTAAAAAAAAAAAAAGTAACAAGCACATGCTCCCTGGATATTTTCTACTGAAATAACCACTGTTGTAATCACATTCTGTCTCCCGTAACTCTTTAAAATGATCAAAGTGAGCCCTCACAGAATTTCTGGCAAGGTGAATTCCTGTGTACATTTCACAAAGTACAACTTCCAAGCACAGTGGGGTTTCCAAGAATATGCCTGGAAAAAATCAAATGAATCTTCACTCTCTAAGAGCTCTGTCTCTATTTAACCAACTGCTGAGAAATATAAGTAGGGGCCAGTGAAGAACAATCTGTTCTATAAATACAGGATAGTCATCGGTTTTTAGAGTTGGTCAAGCTTTTAAAGATCATCAAACTCCAATCTGAGAAAGATGAGACTTACCCCAAAGTTCTGGATCTATTGTACAGATGGTGGCTCTCTTATCACCACTTTCCCACTATATAAGTGAAGAACTGCGTTCGTTTTCTTAAGCTGAAGTTCTATTACCTCATTTATAACTCTCATTATGTCTTTTAGCATTTATGCTACAACTGCAACTATTATATACCTCAGTGGAAGGAAAAAGTGGGAGGAGGATTTGTAACATGAGCTATACTTAGATTATGTGAATGAGAATACTAAATACTCAGGGATATGTATGCTCAGTCACTCAGGCATGTCTCTTTGCAACCCCATGGACTGTACCCCGACAGGCTCCTCTGTCCATAGGATTCTTCAGGCAAGAACACTGGAGTGCTTGCCATTTCCTACTCCCAGGGATATGTGTCCCCTTTCAAAAAAAATTAAGCAAAAGAATTCAGTTCATTCCAGTTTTAAATCTCAACAAGTTTATTTTCTAAGAGCCAATTTCTCTAGATTTCTAGAACTAAAAGATGGTATTTTCGGATGGACAGAAAAAGTCCCTGTGAAATAGAGTGTTAATATGCTTAAGTAGAAAGAAACCATCTGTAGAATTAGTGATACATGACTAAGATTCTGTAAAGTCTGCTGATGTACCAGCGCTAGCTCACCAGTACCTTCCAAAGACCACTTATTTCCTTGTAACTGCACTGGATGTGATTCAGTGTCCTAGATCATCTATCATTTCACTGGACTTCTTCAGTCCCTCTGCTTCATGGCTGAGCTATTTATGTAATATTATTCCACATGGGAAAGTCCAGCTGTTAAAGTTTTAGAATCAGGAATAAGAACACATTTTTATTAGATCTTTAATCTTGTCTACAGCATGTTTTTCTTGGTTTAAATATGAAAACAGTTTGCTAGCTCCTTTGCCATAACTCACTCTCCTGTACATGTCTTTGGAGGGGGAGAATGCCCATGTTGTACTTCTGGGGTTCCAGAATGAGGCTTATATACAACTGAATCTGAAATCAATGAGTGGGGTTGTATAGTCACCTGTTGAGCTTGAACTCATATGCCTGGGGTAGGCACTGCAGAGGCAAAAAAACAGCTATGGATTGGTAGGAGCAAGGGAAAGATGTGAGAGTCAAAGAGTTTAGGGGTTAGAAGGTTTCAATAAAGAAGGGAAGTTGTACTATTTACAAAAATAAACTCAGAGAAGCAGATTTAGAAGGGATAAACAGCTTTTTTGGGAAAGTTTTGAATTGCTGGGAGGCAATCCAAGTGGGTCTTAAGAGGGTGTGATGCCCTTGTAATGTGTCAGCTTGGTTGATACATTGCAGCTTGGCCATTCTAACATTTTCTAGAATTCGGTTTCCCAGTTTCTTATACAGTTTGGTTTGAGCGGGCTATGTGACAGTCTCGTGTGAAATTTGGGGGCAGAGGTGAAGCTACCACCGTTTTGTTAGTTCACACATGTTGTCAGATGCACTAGCCTTGTTAGCACAAGGCAACGGCTTGACCTATAACTATTCCACATTCTTCTTCAGTTTTTCTGAAACGGAAAATTGTGCTTAGCTTTGAAGTGATGGGCACTGGCTTCCTTCTGCAGGACACCCACAACACCAAGATTATAGCAATAATAACTGACATGGGTTGCAGCCCATCCTGAAGCTTCTTGCCTGTCCTTCCGTATTACCTACCCTGTGGATTTTAGTTGCAATATGAGATCCAAGGACAGCCTTATAGACCCTATACCTCTAATTTCGTAATCAGGTATTGATTCATCCTTTGTATGAGTTTCCCAGTCTTTTCTGTGGCTCAAAGCAACTGCATAATTTGGTCTGTTTTTCTATCTAACTTACACCATTCTTTGTCTCAGTTCATGCTAGTTTCTTATCAATTTCTCCACCTCAAGTCCCGAGTTCTTTCCCATCTCTCAGTCCTCAAGTATGCTGTTCCTTCTGACTCCTGGCTCATGCTCTTTTCATCTGCAAGTCTTAGCCCAGTCATCAACTTTATGGACTGGTCTTCTCTGACTACTCCATCTAAATCATCCTTTGGTGTCTTCAAGGTCCTTACTAGAGGTTGTGTATGCTTACCTAATTATTTTGGCTAGCTTCACTAGATTCTAGGTTCTGTGATACCAGCTTTATCTCGTTCCACATTGGAGACACTGGCTCTGGCACACAGCCAGTTCTCAAAGGATTCTTCTAGAAACAGAAAAGGAGTTATGAAGGAATCTACCTTGTGTGACAGACATGTAAGACGGATTACTTTTCCATTCTTTGGGAGTATAAAGATTATCCTCAATTCTACCCTTATTTCTGTTCTTCATTGCAAGTCAAATTAATTGCCCAGCGATTCAGGAGCCATCTCAATAGTTTTCTATGTTTAGTTTCCAAATGTTAACAGATTCAATTACACCTCTTTCAAGGGATGCTTGTGAGGGCAATTCTTAAATATAAAAACTAGTATTGGAGTTGCCAGTTTAGTATGACTGCAGTTTTAAGTTATGGGTTTAGAACTATTGTTACTATATGTTATTTTGGCTTTGATTCAGTCAAAGCTCAGAACAGTGACCCCTTAGAGATCTAAATGAGGTTTAGATTACATACTCATAAAACTAAATTTTCTAAAAACTCATCCAACTTTATTATCCTATATTTTGCATTCTACAGCTCTCTTAATTTCATACTGTAAACTTCTTAAACATATTTTGTAAGTCAAAGTATTTTCATCACTTTCCAAGATTTAATAGAGTTTCCTCCATTTGGGAATCACATTAGCTACAAAGCGACCAAAGAATAAACAATACTTTTATTAAATAAAATTAAAAGGAAACTCCTATCCTGTTTTGCAAAGGCCCTAATGAAATGTTACAGAGTGATCTCTCTTCCAAACTTTGTCCCCAATGTCAAATCTTTTGGTGTCAAACCTTAAGTTTGCAGATCTCTTTAAAACTTCACTACTGCAAATATTCCTTTTTTGATTTCTTCTTAAAATGCCTTAAATGTATCTTTATTCCTTTTAAAGCAGTTTAGTATCTTTGTAAATTATTTTTCCAGTGTTTAGCCTAGACATACTACTTGATCAAAAATATTAAAGTGGCTTATAAATTGTACATTTTGGCAATTTGGGTACAAAACCTCAGTCACGACGCATTTGCTCCGAGGCTACTTCCCTCGCCAAACAGAGCTCTAACAGTAGTGGTGTCTGGCCATTTTGCAGTTTCTGTGTGTTCTTGTTCTCTGTGAAGTATGTGTGAAGTGACCTTTCCGTATTTCCAATATTATGTTTCTCTTTTTTTCCCTCCCAGCAATTCTGTTATGGTTGAGGTTATTAATGCAAACCCTTTGAACAGAAAACAGATTTTGCTTTCCTACTATGTTAAACTCAATTGTCTCAAGCAAAGCCATTTTGAATTCTTTTGACGTAAGTTAAAAATCAGAAATTTAGTGATTTTTCTTTAGTCTTACATCAACTGGTAGTTACAATGAAGCAGTGAGGGTGGTTTAAACTATACATTGAAGATACAACTAGGAAATTGTTTTTCTATTTGTATCTGAAGTACTTTTTGAGTTCTAAACTCAACTAAAAATACAGTTGTTGAAATTTCATTTGGTTAAGTCAATTAAGTTGTTAAGTCAAACAAACAAAAAAAAAGATTTGCTTGTGTAAATTGAGGGCTGGGAAGATAACAGGAGAAAGACCATACTATCCAAAGCAAGGCACATAGTACATATATGTTTTTTCATATTTTTCAACAAATGGTATAAATTGGCTAAATAATCTCACTCTGATGGATACTGCTCACAGATTTTGATAGCTACTTGCCAGAATATTTGGGTATCTGAAGGCTCTTAGTTGAGGACAGGTTGAAAGTAATTTTCAACAACTGTCACTTTCACTCAGAATCAGATTTCCAATCTCTGCAGGGAATTCATGACTTCATAGTCATTTAGACCCTTGAAGGCTCATTCAAAGAAATAGCAATATAATACTATAGACTGAATGGCTTTAAGATGTAAAACAATATAAAAACTCCCCCAAACCAAACCTGACCAGCCACGGATTAAAATGCAGGCAAAACAGAAACATATTTATTTGTATCCTACTCAAAAGGTGGCAATTTCAAAACTTCTAAAACAACCCTCATTCATCTGACAAAAGACAACAGGAGGAGGCTCTTGAGAGTTCATTTTGATTTTTATTACACGCCACAGACATGGACACTAAGCAGAGAGTAGGATGCTTCTTTGTACTCTCAAAACCACAGGAAACATATTTCTACCTACCCTCTTTTTTGCAATACTGGAGTGGCATGTCAGGTTACCATCTTGGAACTGGTTTAGAGCAAAGTAAAGGAAACCATGGAAGGCAATGTATATACAGCATAATCATGAGCTATTTTTGGAAGCTAGTAGTATCTACTACTTCTATAGTAGTAGAAGCTAGTAGCCAGTAGTTATTCTCAGGCAGACTGAGAATAACAAGGCTGTGCAGTATTAAAAATGCTATTACTTGGGTATTAATTTTGTTGTTGTTTAGTCGCTAAGTCGTTTCTGACTCTTTTGAGACCCCATGGACTGTACACCGTCAGGCTCCTCTGTCCATGGGATTTCCCAGGCAAGAATAGTGGGAGTGGGTTGCCATTTCCTTCCCTAAGGGATCTTCCCAACTCAGTGTCTAATGCATTGCAGGCAGATTCTTTATCACTGAGCCACCAGGGAAGCCCACTTCTTTTGTTCATCTACTCTCATTAGATACCAGAGAAAGTAAAAAGGGGGTCTGTAAGAATGTTTCATTCTTGTTTTCAATTTCCTGTGATACAGTATCTTCTCAAACGTTTTGAAAGGAGCACATCTCCTTATTTAGACTGAAAAGATTGGAAATCTTTTCTGTGCACCCAGAAATGTAGAAATTACAACTACCTTCAATTGTGCACCTGTGCTTTAATAATCCTGACTACTCTTGGCATTGATAGAGTATGAGCTACAAAGTTCCTAAGAATACCTGACCTCACTTGTAAGTTACCTTGACTTTATATGCTATGCGTGTGTCTCTGAAGAGGATACTACTGTATTCTTGGTCCAAAATAAGGTTGGCATGGATATATGCCATACACATATACCAAGGGAGGAATTGTTTACACATACACCAAGGGAGGAATTTTATTTTTTTCCTGAAGTTTTTTTTGTCAGGCAGGAGAAAACACATTCCACTTCAATTTTGAGGTAGGTAATAGGTGGTAATGAGAAAAATACAGGACCCTCTAGGATCTAACCTTTCTCCACCTTTCTCGACTTATGTCTTAATGTAGTTGACCCTTGAACAGTGAGGGGATAAGCGGTGCTGACCCTCTATGCAGTCCAAAATCTATGCATATCCTACAGTCTGCCCTTCCTAACTATGGTTCCATATCCTCAGATTCAACCAACTTGGGATGGTTTATTACTAAAGCATTTACTACTGAAAAAAATCCAACATGTAAGTGGAGCTGCACAGTTCAAACCTATGTTGTTCACGGCTGAACTCCACTTCCCAAGTGGCTTTCACAGTAATCAAGGTACTGATCGTCCATAATATATATCCCTGGTACATCTGCATATTGCTCTTAAATTCAGTGTAAGCATTGCTTCTCTGGAAGGAAGTTCATATCTCTGATTGAACTGTCACCTTTTTATTTTCTTCTAGAATCCTGGTATTATCTCGGTAATAAATGCTATCATATTGTACTTCATATAAATAACCTCATTTCTCTCTCACCCACTACATTATGAAACACTGGAGTGAAGAAACTGTACTTGTCTTTATATTGTCACTGATAATAGACTGAAAGTATTATACTAATGCCTCTTAAAAATGCTGAAATAAACATTCTATTTACAAGTGCTAGGTTTTTCACAAAACTAGCCAGAGATCTGTTCATTTTTGACTTTGTGAACTTATACAGAAGTTACTTCATTCAAACCTCTATTTTGTCCTAGGTTAGGACTAGATCGATCTACATTTTACGAAGATTATGGTGTCTATTACAAATTACATACTACTACTTTTCCCAGAATTAAAGGGCTATGTTGAATTTGATGATGCAAAAAACATTCAGGATAGCAGTGCTTGACACAGCAGCATAAGCATTAACAGGATACTGGACTTGTATCTAAACTTTTTTAAGCCACAGATGGAATTCAACAGACTATGTGTTCTTTTGACTGACATTTTTTTATGACTGCCTGGAAAAAAGACATGCTCCTGCCATTGGTACAGCTGAGGCCAATCAGGAACTAAACATCAACACAAAAATTCCAGGCAAGCTGGAATCAAGATTCTGGAGCCGGGAAGGAGATTAGGGAGAGTATTCAAATCTAGTAAACTGTGGACTTTTAGTGCCCATCATCAAATCCTACCTTGCACCAAGACGATGTGATAGAGGCAGAGCCTCTGATGCTTAAATTGATCCTTAATCGTCTTCTGCAACCTGCTGAGACCACAAAGGGAGTATCTGAATATTCTGTGGACTACTTATCTACTCTGCCCTTTAGGTTAGACAACAGGATGCAGTGGTAACTCTTTGGAAAAAAAAAGAATATGCTGACTGCCTTTTCCCCCCACAGGATCCTGTGATTTTTCCCACCTCCCAAAGATCTTATGTTTCAAAAGGTCAGAATGTCTGGAGTCAGAAATAAGCTGCTTCCCACTTTGTTCAGCACCTACACACAGTAAAAAAAAATGCTTATATGTTGCCACAAATAAATGTCCAAAGAAATTATTTCTACCTCTACTTTCCACCTACCTCCTCTGAAACGCCAACTTAAAGAGATACCCTAGAACTGATTATCTAGAATATTCTTGCCCTCTTCATATTAGATTTGTGTTAGTAAACAACTAAAAAAGTTAGTTGACATAGCTTTAGGAAAATCTAGCTGGCAGCAGAGTTGGACAACAGATGGTCACTCAGAAACTAGACCCAGGAAGGTTACTTACTCTTTGTATGCTGATAAGAGTTCTATTTTGAGGGATATCCTAAAAATCCTTGACCTAATGCAAAAGCCCAAGAGACAGTGCAGGTAGGAACAATTATCATAACCTGATTACTTGTCTAGGGCAAAATATACCATTTTAAATCAGCTATAGATAAGCCAGAAATGTACAATAACCAAAGATACTGACAGCCTACAGAAGCTTTCATCTTTTGCATTAAAAAAAAAAAAAAACCCAACCAAAAACCAGCAACATGTAACAAGATTTTCTTAGATGTTTCTTAGAATTCTTACTAAGCACCTTAAAGTAGTCATAAAAATAAGTGACTTTTAGTTCTGTACTTTGTGCAGAAAGAGCTACTGGCAGGCTCATTTTATAATAATTACAAACAGTTTTATCTTAAAAAAAAAAAGGTTTAGTCTTACCTTTAGGGCAATTAATAGCTGACAATAGTATCTAATTATAACTGTAACAGGCAATTTTTAGCTAAGAAGCTCTCCTTAGTTTTGAAATTTTAACTGAATTTTGGTTGAACCTTAAATGTTAACCATCAATGTGTAAATAACAGCTCTACTACAAAATCTGTAAGTCACATTTCCAAAATTCCTGTTGCCTGGATGAAAATTACTGAAGGTTTTCCTTTATCAACCAAAGCTCAAAGACATTTATGCCATGGCATATGGTAAGTAGATTTGAAAGCTGTTTATCATCACTAAGTTAAACAAGATTCCAGTTCAGGTTGATATACAAAACATAAACTAGATTGAGAGCAATGTATTAAAAAAACAAAAACACAGTTTGTATTTTGGGATAATTAAAATGTACAGACCTAACACTAGAAAGAATGGAAAACATACCCAAGGTTATCGTTCGGTAATTGTTCTGATTAGCTCTTTTTACTCTAAGCATGTAGTGTTATTTGGAGAATGACAGCTGGTCAAATTTTTGCTTAAGACATTTAACCATACTTAACCAGAGGTTTCAGAGATAACACCACTCATATATTCTGAATTATTTTATGTTAAATAGGAACATTTTCTCAATAGTCTTAACATTTTCTCTTAAGTTACATCTCATTTATCTTCCTCCTGAAGAACTACATAGGCTTGTTTTAAATAGTTTAAACACCTGTAATAAACTACAGATTGCTAAGAGTAGAGGTACTCTGGTTAATGCTCAAAATGATACGGCCAGAGGAAAAGCCAGCATTATTAAATATGAATGCAATCCTTATAAATATGAATGCAATCCTTACCAACACAAATTGAACCTTTTTTTCCCCAATAAAAAAGCTAGTCCAAAAAAAAAAGGTCTCATTCTATAAAGATTTATCATTTCCAAATCACAGTGAAAGGAACTTGAATAATTTACCAATTTTGTTTTCTACTATGTGCCTTAAAGATACCTCACTAAAAACTGGTATCTGGCACAACAGAATGACATATGCAGAATGTAATATTGTAGCGACAGTACTGAGGTTGATTGTTACAGACATATTTAAATTCTGAGTATTAAATGTTGCATCCTAATTATTTATACAGAACATTGGTCCAATAACAAAAATAGAGAACAGCAGCTGAAAGTGTAGCTCACTCAATGTTCAGAGATAAAAGGGTTAACCATTCTTTCCATTGTTTTCGGCAGATAGTCCTTTTTTTATCATATTTAAATCTGATGGCAACTGAAGAATTCTGGCATTCTTCCAAACTACTGTATGAAAAGGATGCTGAAGGCCATCACGATACAGCATACTGCAACATAAGGACTCTTCCGTTCACCTGTTGGAAAAAAGGTAGTTAAATATATTCATGTTAACTGAGTGGCTAATGTAAGGTTATTACTAGAGGAGACAGGCATATACAAACCAAGGTAAGATTCTTGCCTATGAAGTCCATACACTTAGGGGAAGGGGCAAAATGAACTACATGCAACATAAAAGTCAGTACACACCAGAATGAATTAAATGATACCTATCTAAGACCACCTCTTTGTCATGTCTTTAGAAGACACTGGATTAGCCATTTTAGTGTCACTGCATAAACGTACATATTAAAAAATATAACAAAGAATGTAGGATAAAGACCCAAGAGAAATGATCTCAAGAAGCTTATAAGGGGAAACAAATAGCATTCCTCAATGAAAATAAACAACTATTCAATAAAACGGCATTTTAAAAATCAACATCACATAGAATGTTTAATAAAAACACATTAGAGAAAACTATTTCTGAGATGGATTTTGTATCAAATCTTTTATAGTATAATTACTCTGGGTTAGAGACGTAGAACTTAGAACAATCACTTCTGAATTAGTCAATTTTCACATGTGTTTCAGGAGTGTCTATTTATAGCTGGAGACTTTCCTTTGCATGAAGTAGATCTGGAGTTGGCTTGTGCAGTTGTCTTGCAAACAGAGATCCTATGATTGTGAACTAACTCAAACTTATCCTGTTCGTTCCTGTTTCTTCAATAATTGCAAGACTGTACAAGGCACTGGGCATTTTTATGCTACCTTGAGGGCACACATGAAAGGCGAAGGAAGGAAGGAGAAAGAGTGAGGACGTGCTTCTTCTAGGAATAATCCTGCGTATGTACCTGGTTCCTTTATAGAGATGGTTTATATTCCCCTCACCTGTGTTTTTCTATGATGTTTAAAATAACTTCTTTTCTAGTAACTAAGTTCCTTATTTCACTTAGCAAGGTTAGTTAATTACTTCTGGAAAATGTCTATCTTGATCACTCTTATCAACTAAAACCTTGAAGGTCATTATTTTTAGAGCTCCCTCACTGAGACCACAGGGATACAACTGGTAAGTTTTTTATCTTTGTATCTATTCAATGGCAATATTCATAGGACACATTTTACACACATGCAAACAAAATAAACATGTGGTATTTTTCAGAGTGTTCTATCCACAGACATTTAATGAACTGTGTTCCAACTAAACAAAAATTAAGAAAGTGAGAAAATACAGTTTTCACAATATTATCTCAACTGAAAAAAAAGAAACTAGAAAATACTATTGTTCCTTTTTTTTTCCCCCAGCAATGCTGATTCTTTCAGAGTAAAAAACTCAAGTTATCCAACAAAACAGTAAGAACAAAAATCAATCAGACCAAAATCTCAAGTAGATCTCATAAGGAAGCCTGTCCCTCTTTCCATAGGGCTAGATACTCTTACTGTCAAATATAGTCTTCTTAAATACTAAAAGAAGAAATTAATACTGTCCTAAATTTGCCATCTGCTAAAAATTAATTTTTGAGGAAGTTCTTCTTTTCCTCATCCTCCAACTTAGAATACTATGATTTACATATGGGTTTCATTATCCTGTTTTTAATTTTCTTAAAAGAGATTGCCATGTGGTAGAGCTAAACATCTTTAGCTGAACTAGGGTAAGAATGTTACTTCTTGTCTGGTCTTAGGTCTCTATAAGTGAATGTGAAACAGTTGCTGTAATGTGATGTGTAACATGATAAGATGATCTGGCTGGGCCTTTTCCCATTAAAATTGCATCCTTTCTTTGTGGATCTATTCTGTGTCAAGATAAGACAGGAACATGTGGTTGAGAAAGCAGCATATCAGTACCAACATTTTCTAAGACACTTTGCCAAAATGAAAAGCTAATGGTTTTCACATAATTGGCAAAAGTGAATAACTGAACTACTTAACCTATGATATTCATGCAGTAGAGAGAGGAAAATGGAAATACATGGGCAAGCAAAAAAAGAAAAGGCATAGTTTATAATTAGACATAAAAATAGATAACACTAACAGGATATCATTAAGAAAGCTATAAACTAGATGTTTGAAACCTTTACCTACACTTCCAAGCAACAATTGTGAACAAAGTCACCTGGATTAGTTACTAACGGAATTGTACAATGTTCTCTAATTTATTACATAAAAAATGGATTTAAAATGCCATAACATTTTATTCACCATAAGTCAATAATTTTAATGTTCGTATGACCCTAACTCTGAATATTTATTGAAAGGACTGATGCTGAAGCTGAAACTCCAATACTTTGGCCCCCTGATACGAAGAATTGATTCATTGGAAAAGATCCTGATGCTGGGAAAGATTGAAGGCAGGAGAAGGATGAGATGGTTGGATGGCATCACCGACTCAATGGACATGAGTTTGAGTAAGGTCGGGAGTTGGTGATAGACAGGGAAGCCTGGCATGCTGCAGCAGTCCACTGGGTTGGAGAGTCTGACACAACTGAGTGACTGAACCGAAATGATGACCCTAATCCAGTGATATTCTCTATCCCCTCAAACTGTCCATAATGTTTTTTTTTTTTTTTTTTACTGAATAACTGATTTACAATGTTTTAGGTATACAGCAAAGTGTTCAGTTATACATCCACATACATATATACATAGACATATGTATTTATATATCCTTTTTCAGATTTATTTCCATTAAATATATTACAATATAGTGAATATAGTTCCTTGTGCTATATTGTGCTGTGTTTAGTCGCTCAGTCGTGTCCAACTCTTTGTGACCCCATGAAATGTAGCCTGCCAGGCTCCTCTGTCAATGGGGATTCTCCTGTCAACAATGCTGGAGTGGGTTGCCATGCCCTCCTCCAGGGGATCTTTCCAAACCCAGGGATCGACTCAGGTCTCCTGCATTGCAAGCAGATTCTTTACCTTCTGAGCCACCATAGTAGATACTTGTTATTTATCTATTTTGTATGTAATAGTATTTGTTAATCCCAATTTCCTAATTTATCTGCCCCCCCCTTTGTTTTCAATATCTGCAAGTCTATTTCTATGTTGTAAATAAATTCAAGATTCTTCTTGTAAGTGGTACAATATATTTGTCTTCTCTGTCTGACTTACTTCACTTAGTATGATAATCTCTAGGTCCATCCAGGTTGCTGCAAATGGCATTATTTTATTTTTTTTTATGGCTGAGTGATATTCTACAGCTGCAATGAACATTGGGGTGCATATATCTTTTCCTTTTCAAATGATGGTTTTCTCTGGATATATGCCAAGGAATGTGATTGCTTAATCACATGGTAACTCATTTTTTGTTTAAGGGATCTCCACACTGTTCTCCACAGTGGCTGTGCCAATTTACAACAACAGTGCAGGACTGTTCCTTTTTCTCCACGCCCTCTCCACCATTTATTATTCAATGGCCACTGATGATGGTCATTCTGACCAGGAGCGAGGTGATACCTCATTGCAGTTCTGATTTGCATTTCTCTAATAATTAGCGATGTTAAGCATCATTTCATGTGCCTATTCATGTATGTCTTCTATGAAGAAATTGTTTAATATTGAACTGTACAAGCTGTTTGTATATTTTGGAAATTAATTTCCTTGTTGGTCACATCATTTGCAAGTATTTTCTCCCATTCCGTAGACTGTCTTTTCATTTTGTTTATGGTGTCCTTTGCTGTGAAAACACATGTAAGTGTGATTAGGTCCTATTTGTTTATTTTTGCTTTTGTTTCCTTTACTCTAGGAGTTGGATCCAAAATAATACAGCTGCAATTTATGTCAGAGAGTGTTCTGCCTATATTTTCCTCTAGAAGTCTCACAGTATCTAGTCTTAAGATATTTAAATAAAGGCCTAAATATGTGTTTATTTTTGTATGTTGTTAGAGAATGTTCTAATTCCATTCTTTCACCTGCAGCTATAAAGTTTTTCCAGCACCACTTATTGAAGAGACTTTTTCTCCACTGTGTATTCTTGCCTCCACAGTTGTAGATTAATTGATAATAAATGCATGAGGTTTATTTTTGTCCTTTCTCTTAAAGGACACCCACAAAATTTCACATGTTTCAGGATCCAGGGCCAAAGCAGTGACATGATAGGAGCCTCAGTCAGACCTACCTTCTGGTCTTGGACAATCTCCTTGAGAAGCAGAAGGCGACTGCATTTTACCTTGGGGCCACAGACACTGGTGGCAGCCATTCTGAGAGTTACTTCTGTCATATGCACACTGGCAGGCACCACTGCAGAATCTTCCCTCTAGCTTATGACTGCTAGGACCCAACTGTGTCCTTGCCCAACAGCCTACAGGTGACTGCTGAGACACCTCAAGGTAAGCAACCCACCTGATGAGGACAGAGCCACATCCATCAGCAGACATGCTGCCTTAAGAGCCCACAGCTGCCTCTGACCATGGCCCTATCCACCAAAGGGTTCAGTGCCCCATTCCACTTACCAGTGGGCAGGCACCAGCTCCAGAAACCCATGGAGCCCAGCCCTACCCTCAGAGAAGACTGCTCTAGCCTCTGGATCAGCCTCACTCCAACAGGGGGCAGACACTAAGTGCCAGATAAACCACAATTCTGCAACCTACAGACTCAGACTGCCCCCTAAGGCCCCATCCCAGCAGGCCAGGCCCTGCCTTGGGTCCAGTTGGGACACGGTCTGGCCCACTAGCAGGCCAAGTTTCAGAACACCCTAGACACCATACCAAACTGTGTCAGGAACCCCTCCCCACCTCCACCAGTGGTGCTGGGAAAACTAGACAGCTACATGTAAAAAAAAAAGAAATTAGAACAGCTAGTTCCTCACACTATATATAAAAATAAGCTCAAAATGGATTAAGGACCTAAATGTAGGACTGGAAACCACAAACTCCTAGAAGAAAATAGAGTGGAATACTCTTTGACATAAATCATATTTTTGGGGATCTAAAAGAAACAAAAGCAAAAATAAACTAACTGGATCTAATTAATGTTAAAAGCTTTTCCACAGCAGAAGAAAACCATCAACAAAATGAAAAGACAACCTATGGAATGAGATAGAATATTTGCTAATGCCATGACTAATAAGGTATTAGTATCCAAAATCTATAAACAGCTCATACAACTCAACATCAAAAAAAAATCCAATTAAACCTGGGCAGAAGGCCTGAAGAGAAAGTTTTTCAAAGACGACATACAGATGACCAACAGGCAGATGAAAAGATGATCAATGCTATTAATCATCACAGAAATGCAAATTAAAACCAAAATGAGATTTTATCTCACACCTATCAGAATGACTATCATCAGAAGGGACACAACAAATGTTGCTGAGGATGTGATATTGGTGGAAATGTAAATTAATGCAGCCTTTGTGGAAAAGGTGGTTTCTCAGTAAAAACAGACTACAATGTGACCCAGCAATTCAAACATACAATATGACCCAGCAATAAGACCACAGAACTGGTCTGTGGCCCAGAGGTTGAGGAGCCCTGTTACATAATATTTTGCATCAACTACACGTCAATAAAAAAAAAATTATTGGGGAATAAAGTACATTTTAATTCATTTACTTACCAATTATTTGAGAATCTAGTATGTGCTGGGCATTGTGTTAAATACTATATATAATGTTATGGGACAATGAATATTAATATATATTGTTATCTAACCATTTACACACTTAAGATGCTACTAACTTTATTATGAAAAGTTAGAAGATATCCACATTTACACAAATTTCAAGAACGATCACATACATGAATTCAAAAGATGAAATAGTTCATATTTTCTAAAAGCAACTAGTAAGATTCTATGACTTACCAGAGGGCAATTAGATAGCTGTTCAGCAAGCCTTTCATTAAATGGAAAAATCATCCTCAGTTATCAAAATGGTACACATTATACAGAACAGCATGCTCTATACTAGGTGTGCATAAAACTATACATACTTGGCTGTAATCTCCTCAAAACCAGGAATGCATACTGTTTACTGTCTAAATTACAGAGACCTTTGTCCTGCTTTCCATCTCCCTATTAGTGAATATTAGAAGGTATCTGTGAAATCATTTTAAACAGTGTCAAGAGAAGAGTTATGTGGAACTCTATAAAGTACTGCTAAAAGGTACACAACTGGGAAGTTTGCACTTTAAAAACTGACATTTTGATTTGTTTGAATATAACTGGCCAACAGTTTACAGCATAAGAAATTAGAGAGATTAAAAAAAAAAAGAGAGTAGAGAGATAATAGACAGATACTCACCAATTCTGGCACACTTCCAAAATATACCCAACAACCTGCAGAAAATAAAAAAGTAGCTACCGATTACTGGGAAAGACAAATTATTCAGTATCATATAGGTAATTTATTACATACTAGCATTTTAACTGCTGATGCATTGTTTTAAACTGAAATTCATGTGATATTGAACCACTACTTATATAGAAAAGTAGGACACAATAGCTTATCAACCATCAATGTATAGAAACTATTAGAAATTGGAACATGTGGTCTCACAGGTTGAGCCCAAAGTAAATTAATTTAAGAATGGCAAAAATTTGCATAAGAGCTTACTATTAAAAGATTAACTCAGTCAACTTCAAGTGCTTTACCTTCAAAAGTGGAAAACACATAACGCTGATTTAAATAAACATTAATTTTGAAAAAACAGTAAACGGACACAGTTGGTTTTGGATAAATTTTGACATTAACTGAAAAAACTTTTTACTGAATATAGTTCTATATTTAAATCATCTATAATTATGAACTCCAGTGACAGTATTTACATGACCATAACATTAAATGAGGAGGAATACAAAAATATGAGCCTATATTTCAATGTATATATTCAATATAATATTTCAAGATAAGAAAACCTTAGTTTAGGGATATTGTATATGAAACTATAATTTCATATGAAATTTAAAATATATAAAATACATATATTCTGGAAATAATAAAAATTAGACTAATATTTGTATTTCAAGCCCATTAATAAATATGTAATACATAATATATGGATATATTGCTTATTTTGCATGTATTAAAAAATACCAGCTTAAAAAAAATGACATTCAATGAAGAGAGATGTTTGGAAAAAAAATTATAGACAATTATTTTGATGTGACAAAAGAACAGAAATATAAATAGTATTACACATGGTTACAAATCAAGATAAATTAACATTAAAATTACTTCAGTGAATTAGAATTGTTATAGGAAGAAAACCATGTATATATTTGAGAGAAATTACATTTTCTTTGCCCAAAGAGATGGCTGGCAATAAATCATTATATTGGAATGGTTAAGACTAAAAAAAATTGCTGACCCAATTAAGTTCCAAACACGTTCCTCCTCTGAAGTATACAGTAATTTCCTGACATCAAAGCAAAAAGTCCCTTAGTGCAGATTAAATGAAATGGGCAAAAATGTAAGTATTGTGAAGGATGGGAATTCTGACAGGTGAAACAACTTCACTATAGGAATAAAAAGGACAAATGTATACTCTTGAAAGCAAAGGATCAGGGCTAAACTGTGCCTAAATTCAATTCTACTTAACTGGCTGCATAACTGTGAGCAGGTTATTTTAACTCATTATCTCATTCTCACAGGGTTGCCATAAGGATTAAATGAGTTATTACACAGAAAATCTTTAGAATAGTGACTAACATGTGCTGTGTTCAATATTACATAGGCTAAAAGTGTGGACAATAACTCCAGGTATCACTAACATTGGTTTACACTTCATCAAAAAAATGGAAGACAACTAGTTAGTGATCTGCAATGCCCTGCAAACTTGATTCTAAAAATCTGTTGATTCTAAAATGAATTATTGACTCAAAGCTGCTCTGGTTGTGGTATTCAGAAGTAGGACACCTCAAGTTCCTCTATGGGAAGCTTAAGGCCCTTCAGAACAGTCTGAAACTATATCATCACAGTCAAGGTCTTTTCAGGTCTTATAGTCTAGAAATTAGCATCAAAGCATCAGTAGGAAATTGGTGTAACAGAGCATATTAAAAGCTACTTAAATGGAAAAAAGTTCCTAATTTGGCAACATAAGAGATTAATTGGTACTGCTTTGGCTTTTTTCACATATTTCCCTACTTAGACATTTACATAATATCCCAAATGCTAAAAGGAACTTAAGCTGGTAAACACCAATACAAATATGCTTCTTAGTTTTTAAAGACATAAGCCAATAAGCATATACATTGATAAAATTACAAAGTCTATGAAAATAGGAAACTAGACAAAATAGCAACTCTTTTCTGCTGCTTTTAAGTTCTATACTATTTGAAGCAGCAAAATATGAAGTTGCTATTTTCAACAGTGAAGTTATTAAGAACTCATTTTATTTAATTGGTCCAAATATCTTCACTTAAGCATGGAACACTCAGTATAACCAAAGGAAAGTTTATTATGAGTTTCATAAATATACATTTTTAACAGAAAAGAACAAGGACCAGTAAAAATGTCTTCCACAGAAATTATTTCACTTGTATAAGTCAAAATAAAAGGAGCTTAACATTTGTATAGAGACAATGTTTTGGGGGCTTCCGTTGTGGCTCAGTGGTAAAGAATCTACCTGCCAAAGTAGGAGACACAGGTTTGATCCCTGATCTGGGAAGATCCCACATGCTGAGAGCAACTAAGCCCATGAGCCACAGGAATTGAGCCCACGTGCTGCAACTACTGAGGCTTGCGTGGCCTAGAGCCCATGCTCCTCAGTAAGAGAAGACACCGCAATGAGATGCCTGCACACCACAGCTAGCGAGTAGCTGCCACTTGCTGCAAATAGAGAAAAGCCCATGTAGCAAGCAACGAAGACCCAGCACAGTAAAAAGCAAACAAAACAGTTTTTCAAAAAAGCTTTCAAACAGCTACCTGTGTCATATATACTTTAAAATGTAAAAATAGGCATGCTATTTCTTTGGTTTTATGTAGGAGAAGTATACTACTGCTCAACCTCTACTGTAAGGTTGGCAGCCCTGAGAACTCCTTTTTTAATGTAGCATGTAGTGGATGTATTCCTGCTTCCAAAGGAATGAGAAGCAGACATTTCCACATGCAGCCTACTTTGTTGCAGCACTAGAAAAGTACAAATACTCTGTTCTACCACTATGTGATTATTCATGAATGAAATAAACAAATTCTTTATTAAACATTATGTATCATAAATCTAAACTAACAATCGATGAGATCGTTTACTGGATTCTACCATATGCTTTGTTGTTTTGTTTAGTTGCTAAGTTGGGTCTGACTCTGCGACCCCATGGACTATAGCCTGCCAGGCTCCTCTGTTCATGGGATTTCCCAGGCAAGAATATTGGAGTGGGTTGCCATTTCCTTTTCCAGAGGATCTTCCCAACCCAGCAATTGAATCTGCGCCTTCTGCATTGGCAGGTGGAGTCTTCACTGCTGAGCACCAGAGAAACCCACAGGGGATTGCAGAGAAAGGGAAGGAGGAAATAAAATTGTGTAGCTGAGTAGAAAGGCTTCTTGTACAACTAAGCAACAAATAAAATTATATAATTTCAACAAAGGGACTGAAGACTCAGTGCAATATGAGTTCAGAGAAAAGGTGGAATGGTAAGAACATAATCTCTACAAAGGAAGTGAGGTGTTGTCAGAAAAACTCATGGACAAATAACATCTGTTTTCACCTTCAGTAGGTTAAATAAAATGCCTTGGGCCAATAGAGACAGATCATCAGTTTATTGGAACAAGATTATAGATTTTCATTATCAAAAACTGGGTAGGGGTTCTCTACGCCTTTATAGCTGTTCAAACAAACCTACATAATAAAAAGAAATAGTAACAAGAGCCAAATGATTTAGATAATGGAATGTTTGAATAAATGTTAATTATGACCCCAAAGATATAATGCAGTTGAAGGAAAGATAATTATTTTCTCTCATAGTTGAATATCTACTACGTTGCTTCTTGTAGGAGATTTTTTTTAGTGGAAAAACAGAGCCTGATTTTGCAGTATCCTAATTAGAACTTTCCCTTTCCATCAAAAACAAAAAAGGTGGAGATAATTAATTATTCCTATGTGAAGTATTCTATTTCATCCTATTATTTCTTAAGATGATTAAGGATCTTACCATGAAAGGATTAAGACAATTATTCACAGAATTAATCTGTAAGGCAAAGAAAGTTTAGACAGTTTTCACCATTTGGTCTCTGCTTTTAGTATAGTTGTCCTGGTTGCACTCAACATGTATTTCTATATGAGGAACATGGCACTTAAAAATTTTAAGTCTACGTGGTATCACATTAAGCTCAATTTTGGTAGGAGTGTTAACATACAATTAAAAGGGATGTGACATGCCCAAAACTTAACTTTTATTATTGCTTTAAGAAGGCTAAATTTCTCCAAAGATGTTTGCTTTATGATACAGCTGGGGAGCCTATATGATTAGAGCAGTCCTGGAGTGGAGATGGAACGTCTATATTAGTACTGTAGTGGACACAGTGCTTATAAACTGTTTAATGCTTTCAAGATAAGATAATGGATTTTACTATTAAAAACAAAGGCCAAACCCTGTCTTTGAAACTACTAAACTGCAGCTATAATTTCAGAAAGAAAAACTATCTCATCTTTTAAAATACACTTTTTTTTTCCCAGTCCAACACACGTCAGGTCACTTCTGATATTTATCTTTTTGGTAAAAATCTATGAATATAAAGATTTGGATTTCTAAATAACAAGGAAAAACAATGGAAAAAGTTATTTTTACATAATTTAGTTATACAAACTAAATTACATACAGAAATTAAATTACTTAATGACTTTCAATAGTTGGCATTTACTATCTCTAAGAACTAACTTGGGTGATTAAACATTATTAGTAACATACCCAGTTTTATTTCTGTCCAGGAGGCTGGGTGCCAAGGATCGGATATAAGCACAGGTACATATAAGCAGCAAGATTACAGTCAACAGACTCTGAAAATTGAAAATGGCAGACTAAAAAGAGAAAAAGAAAAATTAATGTCACAAGATAAACTGCATAGGTAAAAAAATGTCAGATAATTCCATATTAAGAATCATATTTTTTTCTTCAAAAAGGCAAACAGAATGACATGCCTGAGAACACTTTTTAAAAGCAAAAAGAAAGTGAAGTTGCTCAGTCATGTCCAACTCTTTCTGACCCCTTGGACTGTAGCCTACCAGGCTCCTCTGTCCATGGAACTTTCCAGGCAAGAGTTCTGGAGTGGGTTGCCATTTCCTTCTCCAGGGGATCTTCCCAACCCAGGGATCGAACCCAGATCTCCCGCAGTGCAGGCAGACGCTTTACCATCTGAGCCACCAGGGAAGCCTTAAAAGCAAAATCACAAGGTATTTTGAGAGCATACCTTCTTCTCCATTCTTTGGGCTAAAGAATTCAAAAGAGGCAACAAAAATTCTAAATTCAAGAACTTAAAAATACCACCCAAAATGTTTCAAATCCAAAACAGCTCACCAAAGCCGAAACAATAATTAATACAGATGTCCTAGGATTCCAGACTACTAGGTAGAACATACGGTCTCCAAGCTCTGCAAGTAAGCTGGCTATGTAACCTCAGTTGAATACTGACCTCTCTAAATCTCTGTTTTACATCAGAAAAACTAGGTGGAGAATGGGGAGACAGACTCAACGCTGGCTCAAGATTTTTCAATTCTGAAATTCTTTTAGAATAAGAATGCTTTAAGTAGTCATGTTCCATGCATTGACTGATAGTTGTCAATTAGGTTTTGGTGAAAAAAAGTACTTGCTCAGTCACTGCTGATACTTAAAGTTATTAAGATAAAAAATTTAACACAAGAATCTGTTCTTAAATAAAACTGTTACACATTTATCATAATGCAGCAGCAGTATCCCTAAAGAGTAGACAAACTGAATCTCCAGCACCTAACTATCCATCAGCCACTCAGTGGGAGCCCGATCAGAGATGGTGGAATAAATAAAACAATTTTTTAAAAGTAGAGGAATACTACTGTACATACAATAAAGAACAACTTTTCTATTATATACAGGTTGCAAAAATATATCAGTCTCACACAGCAGCCAACAATATGTTTACTTAGTAGACTCAGAAGTTCTTCCTGAGGGGGATCAAGATGGTGGAGTAGTAGGATGTGACACTCACCTCCACCAACAAAACACATCAAAAATACATCTACATGTGGAATAATTCTCACAGAAAACCAACTGGAAATGGGCAGATCTCCTATATAAAAAAGCTGCAAGAAAGATCTCCATGTAACCAGGTAGGACAGGGAAGAAAAAAAGCATCAAGATGGGACATCAAGATGCCTTTGGTAGGCATGTGTAAAGGAGAAAGGGTCTACCCAAGTAGGCTTGGGAAGCATTCTTGCCTGCTGAGACAGACAGAGGGGTCTCAGGGGCCTAGACTTGATCAGAATGTGTGCATGCTGGCTTGCTAACAATCAGGGTGGAGACAGACTGGTGCTGATGGCTGCACCTCACCACATTCCCAGTCAAAGTGTGAATCAGGTTGGGCTACAAATATGTACAGCAGCTAAGCAGTGAATCTTGGCAGATATGCTCTGCAGGAGGACTCCATCTGTTAATAGCTGCAAGGAGCCAGCTCTCAGGGTCTGGACTGTGTTCAGAGAGCCACAGAGTCCACAGTCCCGAGGCAGGAGGAAGATGGGCACCCATCAGAGTAAAGCAACTAGAGATTCACTGCCTATGGACTGAAACTCCAAGACGAGAATAGCAGCACAAATAAGGGAGGAGGCTGGGCCCTGCCCAGACCACACATTTCTCATTCAGCTTCTCATTCATTTCTCATTTAGGGAGTCATGAGACCTCCTCGACCACATTCCTGCAGAAAGGCTCCCTGGAGGTCAAAGCAGGAGTGATGTCAAGGGATATTCTACCCATCTGCCTTTTTGGTAGAAGTCATCTTGGCTAAGAGATGTGTGCTCATACATGGGAGGATCCTGAGATATACCAAATATAGACTGTGAACCAGGCAAATCAAAATGACTGGCTAAAAGAAACCCGAAGAAATTACCCCATAAAAGTAATTCAAACTGCCATGAGGATGTGACTCAGCAACTCTCTTGAGTCTGCCCGTGTGTCTATCCACACATATTGTACTTTTTTTTTTCCCCTTTTAACAAATACTTGTTTCACTACTTTCCAACTTTGTGGGCATTCTTTTCTGCAAAGCTGAAGGGCCAGGGCCTCGTCACTGACCACTGGTCTAACGGCTAGGACTGGTGTTCTCACTGCCACACCCTGGCCTCAGTCTCTGGGTGGGAACTCAAGCCCTGCTTCGAGCTGCTGCAGGCTGAAGCTACCTGAGAAGTCTGAAGCACCTCAAGTGGAGGTGGGGGTGAAGCGGAAAGGAGTGGGCGGGTGGGCCTGGGTTGGCAGTGGTACTTGGTGGACTTTGCTATGCTCAGAAAGGCGTGTCTCCAGGAGAGAGCCCCTGTGGAGGAGTACTCGGAGCTCCAGGCCCACCCACTTCCCACCTCTGCTTGGAGCTCGATCTGAGGTGGACAGGTCCTGAGAGAGGCTGCCAGAGAGGCAGTTAAGGTCCCAGGAAACAGCACGTTCATCTTCATTCATGCAGCCACAGTGCCCTGGCCCCCAGCACCCGTCTACTCTGCACCACAGCCTACAGCTCAGCACTCTATCTGGGGCAAACACAATGGAAAAAGAGAAGCAATTTTGGGCTGCTTATGGGCAGAACTGCAGCTGTCAAAAATACTGCACTCACACAGACTATACAGGGATGCTTCCATATTAAAAAGACACCTTCAAATCCATAGTAGAGAACTGTTTTTCTTAAATTCATAGAGACAGAATGAAGTTAAGAAAGATGAAAAAGCAGAGGAACTACTCAGATTTAAAAGAACAAGAGAAATTCCCCTGAAAGAAATAAAACAGCCCTCACCAGTCTCCCAGACCCTGAGTTCAAAAAGGAAGAAAAATGTTATAGGAATTAAAAAAGATAACTGATAGAAATTCAGATCATTGTAACAAGGAACTAGCAACTATAAACATGAACCAATCAAAGGTAGATAATACAATTGCTAAGATAAGAGCCAATCTAGATGCAATCAACAACAGACTAAATTACAGAGAACAAATAAGTGATCTGGAGAACAATGGCAATCACTCAATCAGAACAGCTGAAGAAAAAAATTCTAAAAATATAAACAAGAGATCTCGCTGTATCATTTTGTTGTTGTCATTTAGTCACTAATGACGTCCAACACTCTTGCGATCCCCACGGACTGTAGCCCACTAGGCTCCTCTGTCCGTGGGATTCCCCACGTAGCAATACCAGGTTGCCAATTCTTTTTCCAGTCAATGTTCCTGATCCAGGGATCAAACCTGCATCTTCTGCATCAGTAGGTGGATTCTTTACCACTGAGCCTTCAGAGAAGTCCACCTGGTGTATCATTAACTGTAACAACATTCACAATTCAGGGGTCCAAGAAGAAGAGAAATAAAAGGGGACTGAGTAAATCAGGGCTAAAAACTTCCCAAACCAGAAGAAAGAAACAGATATTTAGGTACAGGAAGCACAGAGGGTCCCCTAAAAGATGAAAGCAAACAGATCCACATCAACACATATCATAGTTAAAATGGCAAAAAATTAAAGACAAAGACAGAAGTCTAAAAGTAGCAAGAGAAAACCAAAGAGTCATATTCAAGAGAAACACCATAAGGCTATCAGCTGAATTCTCTGCAGAAACTCTGTAGGCCAGAAGCATGATATACTCAAAAAGTTCTTAAAGAGAAAAACCTACAACATCCTAAACCCTGCAAGATTATAATTTATTTTTTTTAGATTATTATTTAGAATAGAAAGATAAAAAATTTCTCAGACAAGCAAAAATTAAAAGAATACAGCAATTCTAAACCTACCCTAGAAGAAATATTGAAAGGTTTTCTCTAAAGAGAAAAGAAGCAAGACTTAATAGGAAAGGGGAAATTACAATAGGAAAGGCAAGCATATAAAAGGATTAAGATCATTTAAATAAGCCAGTACATTGATTGAAAAACAAGAAAAAAATGATAAAATGCAAGTAGACATAGTTATGTGTCAATATACTTAAAAACCTGGTTCACCACAAATCAAAAATATACACTAGACTCACAAAAATCAAACAAAGGGAAGTCAAGCATAATACAAAAGAAAACCAACAAACCACAAAAGAAAAAAAAAAGAAGACATCAACAAAGTACAAAAGCATCTGGAAAACAAGGTTGAAAATGGCAATAAGTATATATTCATCAATAACTACTTTAAATGTCAATGGACTAAATGACCTGATCTAAAGACAAAGAGAGGCAGATTAGATGAAAAATAAGACACTACAATATGCCACCTACAAAAGACTCACTTCAGGGTTAAGAACATACAGATTGAAAGTGAGTAGATGGAAAAAGATATTTCATGGATTTGGAAATGATAAGAAATTGGTGGTAGCAGTATTCATATTAGACAAAGGAGACTTAAAGTCCATAAAGAAAGGCAGGAAGGACATTATATAATAATAAATGGATAAAAACAACCAGAGGGTCTTATACTAATTACATATATACATCAATGGTCAGATCTTTCAGACAGAAAATCAGTAAAGAAACAGATAGTCTATATGACACATCAGACCAGTGGGACTTGATATCTACAAGACACTACATCTCCAAAAATCAGAATATACTTTTTTTAAATAAGCACACATGGAACATTCTCTAGGACAGACCACATACAAGATCACAAAACAACCCTTAACAGATTTAAGAGCACAGAAATTATCTTAAGCATCTTTTCTGACCACAATGGTATAAAAGTAGACATTAACCACAGGGGGAAAAAAAAACAGGAAAAGAACAAACATATGGAGACTAAACAACATGCTACAATGATGAAATAAAAGAAAAAAATAATACCTTGAAACAAATGACAATGAAAACGTGTATGCTCAGTCACTAAGTT